ACTCTGAGGTCCCTTCCCACCCAAACCATTCCCTGATTCCATGATACGGTTTAGTTGTAGGTAGTCCTGGAGGAGCAGGGAGTTGGGCTCAATGATCCTTACGGATCCCTTCCAGCTTCAGATATTCTATGATTCTGGGATTCACTAAAGTTTTCCAGCTGATTCATGTCAGTGGGAATCTGATGGTTTATGTCCATTTTGAGAGATTTGAATGATCTAGGAGGGAGGGAGGGAGGAAGGAAGGAAGGAAGGAAGCGAGGAAGGAAGCAAGGAAGGAAGGAAGGAAGGAAGCGAGGAAGGAAGGATCCCTTCCAGCTTCAGATATTCTATGATTCTGGGATTCACTAAAGTTTTCCAGCTGATTCATGTCAGTGGGAATCTGATGGTTTATGTCCATTTTGAGAGATTTGAATGATCTAGGAGGGAGGGAGGGAGGAAGGAAGGAAGGAAGGAAGCGAGGAAGGAAGCAAGGAAGGAAGGAAGGAAGGAAGCGAGGAAGGAAGCAAGGAAGGAAGGAAGGAAGGAAGCGAGGAAGGAAGCAAGGAAGGAAGGAAGGAAGGAAGCGAGGAAGGAAGCAAGGAAGGAAGGAAGGAAGGAAGCGAGGAAGGAAGCAAGGAAGGAAGGAAGGAAGGAAGCGAGGAAGGAAGCAAGGAAGGAAGGAAGGAAGGAAGCGAGGAAGGAAGCAAGGAAGGAAGGAAGGAAGGAAGCGAGGAAGGAAGCAAGGAAGGAAGGAAGGAAGGAAGCGAGGAAGGAAGCAAGGAAGGAAGGAAGGAAGGCAGGAAGGAAGGGAAGGAGGGAGGGAGGGAGGAATGGGGGATCCCTGTTTACAGGGAACATTTTCTTGCCCTCACTTCTTGAGCAGACCCCCCTCTCTCCAGAGGGAGTGAGAAGTCCGCATTCACCCTTCACAGAATTAGGAAGTAACTCATTTCCTAGTGTGATCCGCGATCATTCCTGGCACCTGTAACCGTAGGTTATGTCGGGAGTAGGAAACAGCTTCCGTTTCAGATTTCTGCGTGACTTCCCGAGCTCAGCGCACGCAGCAGCAATTGCTTCGACACAGAGCACCGTCCCCATCCTGGCTCCCTCCTTTCCAGCCGATTCCTGCCGCGCTGACACTTGGGTCAGCTCCTGGCTCCTTGCGGTGGCTTTGCTGGATGTGCAGATGTCCATGGGAGGACTGGCGACGCTTTGCCGTACCACGTCGCCTTGGCATCGACGTGCATGTGGTGCCGGTCAGGATTTACAAGCGGAGGGGCACGAAGAGGTGTGGGAGGTGACGCCTGAGGCGGCTGCGGTGATTTAACTGTAGCCTTTGGCTAAAGCAGGTTCCTGGTCCGGGAGGTCCTGGCAGCCACGATGTTTCTCAGATTCCCCCGTCTGACTTCTGATAAGAAGTGGAGAGCAGACGTCTCTTGCAGGGTTGGGCGGCGGAGCCGTTCCCATCCCTTGTGAGCAAGGAAGGAGTCGCAGCATCTTCTCCTCCCCTGCACAAGGGACCCCAGGTCCTGAGCACTGCGGTGCTGGTGCTCGGTGGCCCGAACTATCCCCTCTGACTGATGCACCTCGGTCTGTGGGGCACCTCAACCCCCAGAAAAGCTGCTGGTGATATTAGAGAGCTACCACGATGTAATGTTTCCCGGCGATACCTTGGAAAACAGGAGTGTGTTGGCCAAAGAGAGTAGCCCAGCACCCATCAGGCCTGGCCCACTGGTTTCGGTGAATAAACGGTCGCCATGTCAGTCGTAGGCGTCTGGACTAGGTTCCCTTTCAAGTCACTGGAGGGGAAGGGGTATTTCTGGGGCATAATTCATTGCACTTAACTCCACACCTATTCTAGGATGGGATAAATGGTTTTCAGGCGGTGCCGCCGTCTCTCAGCATCTGACCTGTCTTTGTGAGGTTGGGAGACACCGAGTCCTGCCAACTGCCTCAGCAGTTTGAAGATCCCGTCCTGGATCTGCTTCATCTTTATGCCGTAAATGAGCGGGTTGAGCATGGGAGGGACCGTCAGGTAGAAATCGGCCACCAGGACTTGGACGTGAGGTGCCAAGCCGAAGGAGAACATCTGCAGGTACATGGAGAGGAGACCACCTACGTAAAACAGCAGGATGATGGAAATGTGGGACCCGCAGGTCCTGAGGGCCTTGAGACGCGCCTTTTGGGATGGCAGCCTCATCACAGACCGGAGGATCATGGCGTAGGAGAAGGTGATGAAGAGAGAGTCTGACCCCACCAACAGCGTTGCCACGATGAGGCTGTAGAGATCGCTGAGGGACGGGTCGGCGCAGGCCAGCTCCACCACGGCCATGTGCTCGCAGTAGGAGTGAGGGATGACTCTGGTTTTGCAGTAGGGTAAGCTGGTGAGGAGGCACATCAAAGGGGTCATGACACCAGCTCCCCTGGCCAGGGACAGAAGGCCTATCCGGATGGTCCTCGACCTCGTCAGGATGGTGGTGTATCTCAGGGGGTGGCAGATGGCTATGTACCGGTCAAAGGACATTGCCAGGAGCACCCCTGACTCCACCGCAGTGAATGTGTGGATGAAGAACATCTGGATGAAGCAGGCCTCGAAACCGATCTCTCTTGAATCCAACCAGAATACAGCCAGCATTCTGGGAACGACAGCGGTCGAGAAGACGAGGTCGATGACAGCCAACATGGAAATGAAATAGTACATAGGCTCATGGAGGCTTTTGTCCAGCCTCACTGTGAGAAGGACCATGCTATTTCCCATCAAGGCCATGATGTATGTAAAGGAGAACGGGATGGAGATCCACATGTGGAAAGCTTCCAGACCAGGGATGCCCGTCAGGAGAAAAGGCAAAGTGTTGGTGTGGGATCGGTTGGCAGCTGACATGGCCCAGGTGGGCCAAGCCACATCTTTGTTCCCAGCTTTAGTCCCCTGTAACAGTGACAGAAAGGTTGGGATTTTGCTGCCATCAAAATCGTAGAATCATGGAATGGTTTGGGTTGGAAGGGACCTTAAAGATCATCTAGTTCCAACCCCCCTGCCATGGGCAGGGACACCTTCCACTAGACCAGGGTGCTCCAAGCCTCATCCAGCCTGGCCTTGGACACTCCCAGGGATGGGGCATCCACAGCTTCTCTGGGCAACCTGTTCCAGTTGAACAGTTCAGTTCGACCATAAACCTGCATGCAGCTGTTGTCAAGTGCCAGACAATTTTGTTGTATTTATTTTGGGAAAAGCTTTCAGAACCTGTTTTTTACGGTCAGGACTTTCAGCTGATACTGTGGTCAGTACCTTCCAGAGGACACATCACTGGAGGGTCCTGGACATCCTATTGCTCACGTGGGGCCACCTTCCCTTCTGCTCCCCGTCCAGCCACTCCGATTTACCTCTAGCTTTTCCGTAGGCGTGTCTGTCGGAAGGGTGGCATCACGGCGTCCTCCCCTCCACTACTGCCCCATCAGTGGACCACAATGACCCCAGGCTCCTGGCCCCTGCCCGGCCTTCATGAGCAGTGTGATGGCAGGGGAGACCTCAGAGCCCCTTCC